AATAATAAAAATATCCCCTCCGTGGGAATTTTAAAAAAACGAATCCACAGCTGAGGGGGAGCATTGGTGGGAAGGGGAAAAAACAGTAAAAGAGCCCAGAAACAGTAAGATTTGGGAAACATGGAGGGCAGACAGAGCAATTTGGGACAGGACCACACAAGAGACCAGTAACTATATAACCCTCCCCCTCAGAAGCTGTGAACAACAGATTGGGGCATCAATTAACTCCTGATTGGTTTCCTCAATTATGGACCCTTTCGCATCCCCACTGACTTGCATGGAAAAAGAGGAAAGGTCTTCAATGAGGCCCTAAAGGCACATATAAGTGGTCCTAAGTATATAAGTGGTCCTAAGATGCTGGGAAAGATTGAAGGTCAAAGAAGACAGGGACGGCAAAGGATGAGATGGTTAGACAGTGTCATAGATGCAACGAGCAAACTTCGGAGGACAGCGGAAGACAGGAAGGCCTGGCGTGATCTGGTCCATGGGGTCGCGGAGAATCGGACTCGGCTGTGCGACTGAACAACAACAACCACTAGGTTTACAGCAGGTTTTTCCCTTTGGGTTTCCTGCAGTTATCTCATGTCCAGAAAACAGTACTGGAAAAAGGTTACTCCCCTTTCCTGTGCTCGCAATTCAAAACAGGCCCCTGCATGCCTGATGTAAAATAAGCAAATCTGATTGAACGTCATTTTGTGCATGCACACAAAAGCTTATACCCAGAATTAAACTTTTTGGGTCTTAAAGGCGACTCTAAACTCAAACTTTGATCTAGTGCTTCAGACCAACATGGCTACCCACCTAAACAAATCTGACGCTCAGGGTCATGTATTACCTTCTGGACCATACCAATTCAGGCAAAGTCATTTAGATTTTATTCATGGTTTTTTCCAGTGGGCCACATAAACTATTTAATCCCTTCCTTTCCCAAATGCTCACCCTCTAGGCGTTTACCTTTCAATGAAAACTTTCTGAGGTTAGCAATTGTTTCTTGGCATCTTTGCAATAGTAATTACTGAAAGACAGTACAACATGGTGGCTAGATTGTCAGAGCAGGATCTGGGAAACCAAGGTTTGACTCTCCACTCTGTTATGGAAGCTAGATGAGTGACTCTGGGTCAGTCATACAGTCTCACTTAACCTATCTCACAGGGCGATTGTGAGGACAAGCAATTTTGGATGGCCAGTGAGGAGAAAAGTGGAGTATATATGAAGTAAATAAATAATCAAACCCTCAAAGGTTGGCCTGGAATCGCTAAACTGACTATAATGAGCTCTGAGCAAATCTATGGAGTACTGAAGTCATATTATGATTCTTAAAAGCAACTCTAGCGCAAAAACATATCATCTCAAAGAAAGTTGCATACTGCAGGGATATACTTTTGATCTGGCCTCCTCTAGATGGATTTCTCAAGATACATGAATTTTCCCTACTGCCAGTTTTGTCAACTAAATCCAGTACTCTTTCTTTTTTGCAATAAGAGTTTAAAAGTTTCACTCACTCACCTGGATAGGAACAGTTTACCCAGAAGTTTCAGATCTGCAGCACAATCATCTGATTGACAATTCCTCTCAAAGACAGTCTATGAGAAATTGAGAAAAAACAGCCCTATTAGGAGGGGGGAAAGAAGCCTAGATATACACATGTTTCACTTGATGTTGGCTTTGTAAGAACTGACAAATATACCACTAGGGACCTGAAGACAAGCAATTCTTAAATGTTCCCTAAATCCCTTCTGCCAAGAGTGTTCAGCATTAAGCAATCTGAACATGAGCAGTCATATAGACACTTCTGTGTGACCAGCTGGTTTCTCAAGAAGTCACTACTACTCTCTAGTAGTTGCATTTAATAACATGGTATAAAAAACATGGTATTATATGATCTAGGGGTGTGCATTTGGGCCGATCCAAACCGGAAATATACCCAAAAAACAACTTATTGGTATTTTTCGGGTATATTTCAGCGTCCCAAATGTAGCTGGGATTTTTTGGGAGAATTGAAAAAATCCCAGATATATTCGGGAATTACCAGCAGACCTGAAACAACAATTGTGGGGCTTGAGCAGATTGCTCGCACTGCTCAGCTGCTTTTGGGCTTTCTTCTGCAAGGGGTGTTTAAAGAGACTGCAGAAGACAGCCCGCAAAACAGCCAAGGGGGCGCCCTTCCCAACCGCTCAGCTGGGGCTCTTTTTGGCTGTTTGACCAAACTGCCGAAGAGAGCCCCAGTGGAGCCTGTGGGGAGACTTCTCCCCGCAGGATCAGCTGCTTTGCAAACTCTTTTGCGCAGTCCAGTTTAAAGGGACCGCCCAAAAGAGCCCCAGCTGAGCTACCTGTCACCTGTTTTTTGCAGCTTTGCGGCTGCTTTTTTCTCTCTATGTACTTTTTGGTTTGGGTCTATTGGAATCAAAAAAATTCAGGATTTCTGGAAAATCTTGGATCTGACTTTTGCTCGGGGAGTGGATTTTGCCACGATACCCACTAAAGTGCGGTGTAGTGCAAGGGGCGATCCTCTTGCCGATGTTGTTTAACATCTATATGCGCCCTGTCGCTCAGCTGGTGTGGGGGTTTGGACTGGGTTGTCACCAGCTATCTGTTGATGGATGGCTAACCGGAATCCACCCCAGATTTTTTGGACAGGGCACTGGAGGCCGCGGCTGGATGGCTATGGCAGAGCTGGCTGAAATGAACTCCAGTGAAGACAGAGGTCCTGTTCCTGAGCCATGGAGGTCTGGGATCAGGAATCCATCTCCTGACCCTTGGTGGGGCACTGTTGATGCTGGTGCTGAGGGTTAGGAGCCAAGAGGTGATCCTGGATGCCTCGCTCTCCATGGAGGTCCAGGTCACCACTGTTGCCCGATCAGCCTATTACCATATATAGCTGGTCAGGCAACTGACCTCCCGAGATTTGGCTACAGTGATCCATGCAATGGTCACTTCCAAGTTGGATTACTGTAACTTGCTGCACACAGGGCTGCCCTTGAACCTGATCCGGAAACTGCAGCTAGTGCAAAATGCAGTGGCGTGCCGACTGATGGCGACATCTGTGTGGCCGTGCAGTCACCAGGTGTTGCGCCAATTGCACTGGCTCCCAATTGAGTACCAGATCCAGTTCAAGGTTATGGTAATAATCTTCAAAGCCCTACATGGCCAGGGACTAACATACTCTCGCCATATGTGCCCCAAAGAGCTTGACGTTCAGCTGAGTAACAACTTCTGGTAGTTCCAGGCCTGAAAGACATCCATTTAGCCTCGACAAGGGTCAGGGCCTTCTCTGCCCTGGCCCTGGCCTGGTAGAACATGCTCCCACTTGAGATCAGGGCTCTGTGGGACATATTGTTGTACGCCGCCTTGAGCCTGCCTGTGCAGGCAAGGCGGGATATAAATCGAAACTAATAAATAAATAAATATTGTAGTTCCACAGGGCCTGTAAAATGAAGCTGTTTCACCAGGCCTTGGTCTGATCCATCTCGGCCTCCCCTGCTCGCATGGTTTGTGCTGCTTTGCAGTACTTATAGTGCCTAGGGTTGCCAAGTCATCATTGCAGCCACAGCGGGGGACTCCTGTCTCGATCCTGTCTTGATCCTAGAGTTTTCCCTCGGATGACTGCGGCCCCGCCCCCGGCGCACCCGGCGTGGCTGCGTCCTCCCGGGGGGACTTGGCAAGCCTAATAGTGCCCATTGTGACTTGCCCACTTAGAGCTCAACAGAGCATTACTGGTATACAGGTTGCTATTAATTACCATCCAATCTAGCATCTTCCAGGTGGCACCATGAACTAGCTGAATAATTGCCATCTCACTGTGATCTGATTGAACTTGGATTTTATATGTCGTTCCATTGTTCATTTAAATTGTTGTTTATCTGCTTTTAATGTTTTAATATATTATGTGTTCAACTGACATCCTGTGACCCGCCCTAAGCCTGCTTGCGGGGGAGGATGGGATACAAATCAAATAAATACATTGCCAGTATTGGGATCCAGGGTTTTTCGAGAATTTTTTCAGGTCCAATAGACCTGAACCAAAAAAATAGAGAAAATCGCACACCCCTAATATGAACTCAGAAAATGGAAGCACGGTTCTTCTTTCTCTCATGAGGTTAAAGTCCATATAATCAAGGTTTTCACTGCATGCAACAAGCTCTTTGAGCCTGATCTTAAACACATTACACAGAAGCTATCAGAAATTTCTCCAATGAAACCAAGCTTGTTCAAGAAGATATGCATATTCTTTCTACCATTATCCTGACAACTGTTGCTTAATCAAATATTAAACATAAAATAAGTGAAACAATGGAAGTATTGGTATAGTGTTTGAGTGTGAAGGCCTCAAAAGTAATGCTTTAAAGGCACACCAATGCAAGAAATATATACATAAGCCCCAAAGAAAGTGACTGTATTGTCCAAAACAAAACTATAAACCCCAAATAAAGCCAACATGAACGCTAATGTGTTTTATTTATCTTATGTTCTAATAGTGAAGTCAGGATATCTTTGGATACTTAATTCCGGTGACTGGAGCTGTGTAGCCATGTTTTTACAATCAGCTATAAAGCTATGTCAGGAAAAACTATCAACATGAGCAACACTTTGTAACAAATTGTTTTATGTAACATTATGCAATATTATGTAGTTTGCAAAATACTTGGTTTTATATGTATGGTTTTATATGGTTTTATATGTATATTTTCGTATAGCAATCCTTACTTAAGGTATTGTTTTAGCAAGGGAACCTTTACCTTTATGCCAATAAAGGCTAACTGACTGACTGGAGCTGTGAACAGCCTAGATATTTCTACAAACCTGAAAAGTGCCCTAGGTTTGCAGAAAAATGTGAAATTTAAAGAAAATAAGAGGACCTTAAAAATCCAAAAATGATAAAAAGAGCGCCTCTAGCTTTAAGCAACAGATTCCCACAGTGGCTGTTGCTCAACAACCACAGCATTCCGAGCTTGGCTATGTCAGTAAAAGGCGGGGGTGGGGGAGGGCCCTTTCCAGGCCTATTTTTGGCATTTGAGGGAGGACTGATTGGGGCCAGGCCTGGCTAGGGTTGTCAGTTCCAGGCTGGGAAATTCTTGGAGATTTTGTGATGAAGCCTAAGGAGTGCAGGGTTTGGGGAGGGGAGAGGCCTCAGCATGGTAGAATGCCTCAGCATCCACCCTCTAGCCATTTTTTTTTTCTAGGGGGACAGATCTCTGTCGTCTGGAGTTCAGTTGTAATTCTGGGGGGATCTTCAGGTCTCATCTGCGGGTTGGCAACCCAAGGCCTGGCAGCAACCTCTGGGTGACTTAATGGCACCTGACTTGCTACTGTTCAACAGCAGCCACCCTATGAAAGTCAGTGTGGTGCAGCAGTTAGAGCTTCAAATCACGGTCTGTGAGACCCAGTTTCAGATCATCTTGCTAGGGAAGCTGACTGGGTGATTTTGGACCAGTCGCATATGACCTGCCTAACCTGCTTCACAGGGTTGGATAAAAAGCAGGAGAAGAGAGAAATGTAAGCTGCTTTGGTCCCCACCATGGAGAAAGGTGGGGTATAAATAAAATAAATAAAGAATAGTTACAGCTGAAGATAGAAGGCAGATAAAAGGTAAATGGGTGAATGGATGAGAAGCAGAGGATGAGGCAGGGAGAGGATGTGGGGACTGCCAAGAGGAGGGAAAGTGATTAGGAAATCACCATCACCATCATCACCATCATCACCATCATCACCATCATCATCATTATTATTATTATTAGATTTTTTACCCCGCCCTCCCAGCCAAAGCTGGCTCAGGGCAGCTTACCCAAGAACAGAATAAAATTTCCAATAATATAATATAAAATTATCAAACATCACTTAATACAAACAACAAAGCTAAAACCATGGACATAATAAAGTGCTAGTAACTTGGTTTCCTCATCTTGCAGTCGGCTCCTTGATCTTCTTCAGTTGTCCTGGGCGATTAGCTCAGGCAGTAATTAGAGGACCCAGGAGGTCAGGGCTCTCCCACCATAGGCTGTCAGATGTTAGTAGTGGTGGCGGCTCCCAAGGCCTGGTGGAAGAGCTCCGTTTTACAGGCCCTGAAGAACTGTAAAAGGTCCAGCATGGCCATGGTCTATTCTGGGAGCTCATTCCACCAGAGTGGAGCAGTCACCAAAAATACCTTGGCACCAGAGTGGAGCAGCCACCGAAAATCCCCTGGCCCTGGTTGTTACTAACCTGGCCTTCTTGATGCTTGGGAGGGCAAGCCGGGGGGAGTCGGGGGGAGAGCCTGGGGGTGTGTCTGGAGGGGAGGGACCTCATAGGTATATAATGCCATAGACTTCACCCTCCAAAGCATCTATTTCCTCCAAGGGAACTAGGGTTGCCAACTTCCAGGTGGGGCCTGAGGATCACCTGGAATTACAATTGATTTCCAGGAGACAGATATAAGTTTATTTGGAGAAAATGGCTGTTTTGGAGGATGGACTTCATATCATTATACCCTGCTGAGGTTGCTTCCCTCCCCCAAATCTTGCCCTCCCAAGGCTCCACCCCCAAATCTCCAGGGATTTCCCAACCTTGATCTGGCAACCCTAAGGGGGACTGATCTCTGTAGTTGGAA